AATTTCCAATGTGACCTCTTTACTTAACTTGAGTGTTACACAATAAGAATACCTGTTTTTATATTCTAATTGGGTTATGGAAAATAACCACTTTTTTACATACGGCTTAACGAAATCAGAGGTAGTATAGTCATTTGAAGTGAATAGCTAATGGAGTAATTACTCACACGATTGCCATTGGCTACTGTTTGCTGGTTGTATTTCAAAATGCCTTTTAAACCTTGTCTAAACAAATTACATTAGATGTCACTATGTGAAAAGTAAGTACTTAATTCAATGTTGAACTTTAAAAGTCAACTTGTTATTAGGACGAAATGAAAAGAAATAACGCTCAAATTTGATTAAATGTGTAATTGTCAGTTGGCCGATGGGCTAATTCACACTTTAAGTTTAAATAAATTGGCTTCATTAGTGTCTCAAAAGATAAGAATAAAACAATCAATAATATTTCAGTTTTCACTAGAATATCTTTGAGAATTATAGTGATGAATTTTAAGCATAGGTGAGTTCATTCAGGGAAAGGGTTGACTGAAGCTTCAGTTAATTTGTTCCTTAATTGAACTAGTCTTGAAATAGGAGAAGAATAAAGACTGTTATTCTGATGAGAAAGGATGAGAGCTAGAGACTCAGATAGTGGGAAGAAGATGGAGGCATTTAGAGGTGGAGAGAGGAATTTAGGAGGACCTGGTTAGAGATGAGGACTGTTTAGTGTTGGTGGTAAATTCTGATGTAAGTGCCGTTGAGATGAGAGCTATACTTGACTAAAGATCACAGGCAAATATGTAAAAATCAAAAATTGACAATGATAAATGGTATATATGAAATTTCGTGGATGATCTCACAGGGTATTTATGAATGGACAAATGTTAGCAAAGAAGTTGCAAAATCATTCTACAATAATGATATACAGAGCATGGAAGGCATGGTAACATGCATCTGGTGATTGACCGCGTAACAGCAACATTGGAAGATTAAATGCATTCAAATATACCTTCAGTACTGCTTTCAACAACTCAGTAAGATGGTACGCATTGATACCGAATTGGAGTGAAGAATATTTGAAAAGTTATTTGGTAAGCGGTCGCCATAAAGTGATTAAATACGCTTGCTATTTCGATGAATAAAAACATTGTGCCTGTGTTATAATCGGAGAAATATTAACATGCCTGAATCGAAGCTTCGCCTTATGGCTGAATAATATGCATGTAATTATCCCTTCGGTGAAGATGAGAAAACTTAACTCACATAAGCTTCACCATTCCACTGTGCTTCACCGATTAGAAAATATGCGTGTAGGCTTTGTTTTATTTAAGCAATCAAGGGGTGTGCGATAGACTTACCTCCACGTGGCGCACCCTGGGCAACGTATACTCATACGGCATAAAAGTCTATTAACTGGCAGTTGACTTCTCACTTTAAACTACCAAGACCCCACCGAAAGTCATGTTCTACCACTTCCACAATACTCACGTCACCTTTTTCTCTGCCTTTGTGCCTGTCTATGTCCTTTACATCTTTGAAGCACTTTTCTCACTTTGATGTTCCTCCCCTCTGTGAAGCCCAAAGTCAGCTAAAGGACTAATGATAGCTATCATAATGCCTGCCATTTGAAATAAATAAATGTAGGCTGATTAAAATGTAATTCCCTATTTCACGATTGGTTTTCTCAGTTGTTTTTTAGGTTGGTTTTTCTCTTCCGAATGAATATTAGGCTATTGTAATTTTAGAATGCTGTCTGACCAGCAAATAATTAAAGTGAGGTTTCGCTCTGGGCATAATGAATGCGGGCTCTCGCAGTGTTCTTACTGACATATTGCTGTCTTTGTGGAATTTGCTTGTAAACTTTTCCTTTATTGATTGATGGAGATCTAAATTCGATCCCTACCTTAACTTTCCAGAGGAAATAATATAAGACACCTATGAAGATCAATTTGAATGTTATCGGTAATTATGAGGTATTATGCCTCGAATTGCATTGCAGTCCATTCTGAAAAACGCTATTTTGCTATTGATGAACACTTTAAAAACTACGTTCAGATTCTAGTGACAGAAGTTTGGTCGAATTCACTCATTTCATACTTGAAATTGAGTTACACATTTGCATAATTAGATGTTGGTATTATTTTAGTTCGGAGAAGGAACCATTGGAAAAGAGCTTACTTAAAGAAACCTTTTCGATCATCTTCAGGTCTGTTTCTTTTCCCAAAGAAAGTAGCATTCTCATTAATTGTGGTTGTCTAAATTTTTGGTTAAACATTTTACCTCGATCCCAAACTAAGAGGGAGAGTGCGGTGTTCGAAGTAAAACGCAAGCAATACTTTATTAAAACAAACTGCAACTGTGATTCAAATTGCTACTTTTTTACGCTTTTAACGAGCGTCATAGTACATTAGTTGCGAATTTCGAGTGGGCGTGAGATTCATTCACTGCACACTCTGAGCAAAATATTCCTTACTTGCTCTACTTCAGAAATATTTATTTATTCATTTATTTCAAATGGCAGGCGTTTTGATAATTAGCCCTTTAGCTGACTTCGGACTTCACAGAGAGGAGGAGGAACATCAAAGTTTCAGAAAGTTGGGGGGGGGTGGAGGGGACAGAATAATGATTCACAGATGTAAAAGAAACAGGTAGAACAAAAACAGAGAAAGGGTAAGATGAGTACTGGGAAAGTGGTGGAATATGACATACAGTGGGGTGATGGTAGTTAGAAGTGAGAAGTCAACTGCCGGTTAATAGACTTTTTGGCCGTATGAGTATACGTTGCCCAGGGTGCACCACGTGGAGGCAAGTCTATTGTACACACCTCTTCAGAAATATAAAGTAATCGATTTTTCATTATTTGCATATTTCTTTTTTTCCTTTAACATTGCAATTCTTTTCAAAAAGACAAGAATAGCATTGTTAATGCTCAATATTTTATTTAACTTATTCACAGGGAAGTAAAAATTTGTGATATTTTACAGACAATTTTCAACGTTAATTCGCTTCCTAGTTGTACGAGAAAGTAACAACTGTTGATCTGACTATTAATAATGAATCAGTGGAGATCATATACCTTCAGAAGTCGTAGGTGATCTGTAAAACCAATTTTCAAGAATACTTTTGCTTGGAGGAGTTCATCGTTTCACGGGTTTCAATGTCATCATGATTGAATACTAACTCATATATTTTTCACCAATGGCTACAATTAAGAGAAAATGTTATAAGATCATGAGTGGAGTCTGGTATTTTGAAAGATGCTAGCAAAATTCAGTTAACTGCTCTTTCATTTTAGGCAGGAAAAATCGATTAACTACACAATTTAATGAATCGATCAATATGTTCAAAGCAACAGTGATATGAACTCTGAAGAGAAGATCCTATTTCTTTTCAAATAAAGATAATAAATTAGATTTGCCAAACAAAAGACTCCCATCAAAATAAATCATCGGATATAAATAAAATTCGGATTTAATCACTTCGGTCCACAGAGGTGGTCCCTCAGTGAAATAGAACAACATCTCCACGGAAGATAAAATACAAAATCACCATCCTATTGAAAAATTCTGCTTTTGGATAGTCCCTCGAATGAAGCCTGGGAGTGGATTCACACCCACTGCCTGCATGTCCAAGAGGCGATGAGGTTGTCAAAACGATTTCTACGTTGTGGATACCCCGTGAATCATCTCCAGTTTCTACATACCCACCAAAAACTAAATCACCAACACCGGGTATATGTGCTGCTGCTGTGCAATACCTAGGTGTTGGCACTGGGAGCGGTTTCCTCCACCTAAATTTTGAAAATACTAAAATCTCGAGTGATACTTGCTGATTCGTTACCTTCGACCTACAAGTTGGAGCTTGAAATCAGACGAGATCTAATATCAACATACGCGCATGCTGGTGCACACTGCTACCAACGTCTTGCTTATTTGGACGAACAAATGTCTGATGATGCGATATTTAAAAGATATAAGAAGAAATTTTTATCCATAGCCAATGCAGCATGAATGCTTTATTAAGTGACTGTCCTTCTGCATTTTCTCTCTTTTCAACTGTCTTATTGACACAAGTATCCTTATACTAATTAGATTATAACATTGCCAAGGGAAATCAATCCAGTTCAGACACACTTAGTTTGATGCAGAAATTGTATTTACAATCCAAGCAGGTCCAAACATCACGCCAGACAAAGTATTTTGAAACGCGTATAATTTGATTGTTAAATGCTTTCGTGTTCCTCACAAGCGTCTAAAATTTTGCCACTTTGCGTATTATATCCACCAAAAACTAGCATCGCATGATCTCGAGCCACTGGGGAATGCCTGTCTCTCTCTCTTTTATCATTGGTTGGAGTGCAATCACTTCACCATTCTGTAGATTGATTCTTTCCACTTTTGATATACTGTCTTCAAACTCATTTATGCCACCCAGAGAATAAACACTACCTACATAGAGTAAAATAGAGTAATTGGGAGAAAGAAATTGAAGTTAAATCCAACCATCCAAAGCAACTGTGCAGCTGTTGGTTCGAAATTCTAATGGGAAAGAAAAATTTATTCCTCCATTCAGTTCAGGAACAGTTACTAAAACACCGCTATTTGAGTCGTAATGACGCAGATAAACACAAATAATCGTTTTTATTCTACAGCGACAAAACAACGCATTATGTATTCCATGCCATGTGTTACCTTTCCTTGGAGATTCATTCAAATTCATAAATGTACCAATAATGGGAATCAGACAGTACCTTGCATATTGAGATAAAATGAAATGTGATCCACGCATTGACGTTTCAGTTACACATTCTTTCGGCAATCTCTTCATGTTGATCGAATCTAGAAGACAATCAAAGTGGTTTCCACGTTTAGTCCGATTGAAATTCAAAGACGAGGCATTCAACCATGTGCAGAGTGCCATGAATTTCACTTTTTCGTTCCCATCATATATCCAAGGACTTTGCAGCGTGATTTGAAGTTGTTCAACTCCTACGTGTTGGAGGAAGAGCTGGCTGGATGATAATCACTCGAAATCACATGCTATCTTTGGTATGCACGCACCAATGAGATTGGTGTTTGACGTGACACTTCCTGCTGACCAAACCTCCAACAAATTAAGTCGATCAAGTCTACAAGACAATTACGTCAAGTTTATGAGGACAAGGGCCAGAAACGGTGGACTTTAGTTTAGTAATGGTATCTTCTCACATCACTTGCAAATAACCCTACTTATACTATCCATCATTGTCATTAATGCTTGCTCTTTCGTTCAGAAAGCCAGTTCCTTATAACTCTACATATCATTATTTATTTTGAAAACCATTGACCTTCAAGAAGTGCACACTCGCCACTGTTTTTCTATCACCCACACACATACATTATGTTTATTTTGATTGTAATAAACGAATCTTGTCTTTATAAAATCCACCGTCCATTCAAATAGTTTTGTGCAGCCAAGATTGTGAGCCAACGGATAAATCCCTAAAGCGTTTTCAGTACTTATGATTATTTCAACGTCACCTCTAACAACACTAAAGAGTTGATAATGTTGTTAGGACAGTCTTCCTACTCGTTTAGAATGTTTACTATTTAAAGTAGTGTTCTAACTTCCTGAAAACTGTGCACAAAGGAAATGTTTGTGGTCATGGATCTTTGAAGTAAACGAAAGTGTGTAAAAGCGATGTTTTCTTCAACTCGAATATCCACCCTGTTGATTCCTCGCTAACTTCTTGCATCGACTTCCAGTAAGATGAATAAATTTCACAAGACTTTTCTATTTTGAAATCCCATTTAACTATAATTGGGCAATTTTTACAAGAACCTTAACCCTGACAGCGCTCTTATTTATTCTTGTGTATTCTTCAAATTTGTGTTCACTGATAGAGTCCAACAGTTTTATTGGCAATTTGTATTGGACCATTCGCTAGTTCCATCCTTGATTGCCTCTGACAATATTGTTTCAATCATGCGGCCATATTCAGACTCTCCACCAATTTCTCTTACTTGACAACAAAATTGATAAAACAATTGAATTGGTTTGGAAAGGAGTCTAACTGTTCCATACTAACTACTTCTGCATCTTGACGGTGTCCCTCCGTTTGGCAGCACAGAAGTGTTCAAAATTGACAATCTCCCTCCACCCCCCCCCCCTTCCACTAAATGTTTATTGTTTTCAAGCGAATGTATTTAAAATTGCATTTCTAACAAGTTGTTATTTATAATTATTGTTTTGACATGATTCACCAATTAAAAAAACTTTGACTTTTAATTTGTATTTTTATTTGGAAACTCCATGATGAAAATTGAACTGTTAACATAAAAGCAAAATTAAAAGATATCTTAGGAAAGGTGTTTCTTATATTTGGGCTGTTTAAAGTGAATGTCATATTTTCACGCATTTGCATTAACAAGCATTCACACTTCTCAAATTAAATCGCATCATCGGCATGTTTGTGACCACTCCAGAGATGAAGATTTATCCCAAATATTCAATAAAACACGTTACTATGAGAAATTTTCAAACAAATCCACTTTATTCTTGTCAATGTACGATATGTAAATATCCGGTTAACGAGGGAGAAGTCTTCCTCTAAAACCAGATAAGCACACTTGAATGTGAATAAGAGATCCTGCGGTATTTCTTGCATGCACTGATTATGGGCCGAAATTGGTTTGCACATAAAGACAATCCCTCGCACTAGTTGTGCTCCAACAGGCCGTAATCTCATGCATTTTGGGCTTCGAATGCTCCTCCGCTGTCGCACACAATGAGGAAAGCAATTTCTCCATCTCCTATCCTCAATTTTAATTCGGGTAGACTTTTCTTCGAGAAAGAGACACCTTTCTAATCTTCATGGGGAGAGATTATACACTTTGATCTGATCATGTTTGTACTATACTTCCTTTTTGTTTCAGAAAGAAGTTTACACGAATAGTTTAGCGTGAAGCCAGCTAATTATTTTGAAATGCGTTTTCAATGAGAATTCTAACAGAGAACAAACTTAATTTTCTTCTCATGCTAACGATATAGTACCATTTCAGGATTTTTATACTCTTATAATTTATTATTAACTCAAATGGCAATGCCTTAGCAACTTGTTGAGCTGCCCGTTAAATTGGGGGGTGGGGGGGGGTGATTGGCTTGATAATTTATCCCTCTCGCCAGCGGGTTTCAGTTTTACCAAGATTTGCAGTAAGCAACTTATCACATTGCACATCCCAATTAGTTGCCTTTGGCTAAATGCTTTTCGTGCGAATAATAGTCTAATGAAGGTCCTATTTTAGTCTTGTGTATGTGTGCGACTTTCGAAATCAACTATCAAAGGTTAAATATTGAATGGGAAAAATACCTGGTTAACGTGTAATTGTGATGATAAAATGTTCACTTAATAGAGGTATGCTCTGGTTTCAGTAAATGAACTGGTACTTTGTGAAGTGCTTCACTTTCATATCCACGTTCTTCTTGATCTGCGCTCCCGAATCTTTCTCTCTTACATATTTCCTTGTCCCTCACACAGATATCATATTGTGCTGTTGAAGCACCTTAATTACCGTGGAAAGGAACATTTCTGATTACTTAAAGGAAGGTTGAAATGGTAACCACGGCAGCATATTGAGATGTGGTTGTCAACGCAAGATTGTCTTGGTGGCTCTATGCACCAAAGTTGAGCTGGAATAGGTAGTTACACTTTACAACAACATCATTGCAGTTGGAAATAGAAGTGGCCAGTTACCACGTATCACAAACTGAACTTTCCTACTTAGAATATGTGCTCAACTGCAATCTACCGAATTGGAAAAGAACTACCTGTAGTATTCTTCAAACATTACCTTTTCAAAAACCAAGACTTCTATCTTGTCCCATTGCATTGCACTCATTTGATATTCCTTGAATACGGATACTCTCTTCCCCCCTACTTGAAAAACGAAAAGGGACACTTTTGTCTTCTTCTAAACTGTTAGCAATACTAAAGCACTTCGATTTCGTTTCGGTGACATAGGTTAGTGCATCTATCGCATTATCAATTGAAAACATTATATAATGTGATCGGTCAGGGTGCTGGAGATGGTAGGTTGACTTTTATGTTCTAGGTAAACGCTGGAACCTATCCTTTGCTGTATGCACGCCTTGCCGAAACCGGAAGTAGTACAGTCTTTGTAAGAGAATATCTAATGAATCAATTACTCCAAACAATTGCTATTGGCTGCTGTTTGTCTAAAACACTATGAAATGTCTTTTTTAATCTTGTCAAAGAAAATTAAATTTGATGTCATTAAATGAAAAGTACGTACTTAATTCAATGTTGGATCTTAGAAATCCACTAATTACTAGAACGAAATGAAAAGAATGATTGGTCAAATTCAATTTGAAATGTATATTTAAATCAAATGGCAGGCGTTTTGATGGTTATCATTAGCCCTGGAACTGACTTCGGTGCTTCACAGAGAGGAGGAGGGGGAACATTAAAGTGACATAAAGTCGAGAGGGGGAACAGAATAATGATTCACAGAGGTAAAAGAGACAGACAGACATAAAGGCATAAAATATGTAAGATGAGTACTGTTGAAGTGGTCGAATATGACAAATAGTCGGGCCAACAACAATAAAAATCTTGTAAGTGGTGTTGAGAGTTGAGCGTGCACAGCCCCATAGGTGTAAGTGGTGTTTAGAGTTGAGCGCGCACAGCCCCATACTTACCAGCACGCGCTTCAGGACATTCAGTCTATTGGAGACGCGTTCTGCTATTTGGCGCAATGTGATTTCCACGTTAGCTTTGTGTCAAAAGTCATTCCGAGATATTTGAACTCATTGGTTCTTTCTAGGGTAGTATCCTTGTACATTAGAAACGGGTTTATGCTGTGACGGGTTAAAGAAGAAGTTTGGAATGCGGCTTTTTGCGGTGTTAATTACCATTTCATTGTTGTCGCACCAGTTTGCTATTAGTTTAAGTGCACAATTTAGGGCACTTTCTGTCCTCTCCTTAGCGTTTTTCTTAGGGGTGGAATACCTAAGTAAGCACTTGATGCCCGTGACTGTCTGTACCAATTCGGATTTGTCATTGATGAAGACATTGAAAAGAGTGCAGCTTGTGACAACTCCCTGTAGAAGGGATGTTTGTAAAAGATTGAATTTTGACAGAGTATTTCCGTATCTGACTTTATACGATCTTTGTACAATGTTTTATCCAAGCTTAGCATCTTATGCTTAATACCAATCTTTGCCAATTTTAGAATTAGCTTCTCTATCGGTCATATGCTGATTTGAAATCGACGAAAATAGCCGTAAGGGTATTTCTTGCATCAAGAGCATCTTTGATGTGTTGGGAGAAAGTGGCTTCTTGTTGGCTCGTTGATATTTGTGGCCTAAAACTTGCTTGTTCACTCCTAAGAATATTGTTGGTCTCAAGGAATCAGGTCAGCCTCCTGTTAACCATTCTTTCCATAAGTTTAGCCAACATGCTTGTGAGAGAGATAGGCCTATAGTTGTCAAAGTTGCTAGGGTCTTTGCCATTTTTAGTACTGGTATTACTTTGGCAACTTTCCATTGGTTAGGTACGAGACTGGTCTCCCAGATTTTGTTGAAAAGCGTCAGCATGGTTTCCATGGCTTTTGGTCCCATTCTAATTAGAAATTCTGGATGAATACTGTCTTCGCCAGGAGACTTCTTACACTTTAGCTGTTTTATCGCAACATTAAGTTTGCAAGGTCTGAATGGTTCAGTTAGTACATTATTTGGTGTTGCGTCTTCCTTAATTTCACCAAACTGTCTTACTTGTATCTTTAAATCTCTTGAAGATTTTCTGACAAAAGGGTTTTTCTTTTGCTTGTGGAAATAGAACCTCGCAAAGCAGTTAGCTATTTCAGTGTCGGTGGTAAGCAATTTGCTGTTTAAGCGTATTGGTTCTTTCTTGGGTCTTTCGCTGTTGTTTTGCAGGTTTCTCAGAAATTTGAAAGTGCGTTGGCTATCACTTTGATGGTTGATATTTGAGATGAACTTGTCGAAGGAAGTCCGTTTTGCTTGTAAGATGGCTTACCTCAGGACAGCTGATTGTCGTCTCCAGGCTTTTACGTCTTCCGTTCTTCCAGTCTGATCAGCAGTGTTGCGAAGGGCGTCCCTCTTTCTTTTCAGTACCTCAAGGTGTTTAGACCAAAACACTCGATAGTATTTAGTCTTGCCTCTGGGAATAAGAGGGCGATTTCTCTTATAGCTTTTTTTCAAGCTAATCATAATAAATCGAAGTCAAATCAAATGCCGAGTGATAGACATTTTTGCCGTATGAAGATACGTTGTCCAGGGGACACCACGTAGAGGTAAGTCTATCGCGCACCCCACACCATCCAAAGTTGTCAATGTCTTTGTTTTGGTAGTTGCTCCAGAAAATATAATGGCTTGTTGCAGTAATAAGCCCTGCCTATGCTCAGAAATTTCTTTTGCAGATTCCCATGAATTTGGATGAACTCCCAGATCTAGCTTCATGACTACACTGATCATCAGAATCTGCTGAAGTAATCACAAGTATTTGCAGTTTTTGGTCTTCCATGAGAATTTTTAGAGTGGGTACGTTTTTTGATGGCTATCTTCTAAGCAGATTAGAAGTGGCCATCAAGTCTGAGGTCTTAATGTCGGTTGTGCGTTGGGACAGTTGATTTCTTGAAAGTCTGGTGTCCATTGAATAGTCTAATTCGTAAGTACTCACCTGACAACCAGCCTCTATTCCAACAGGTTGAATGTTTGCAGTCAGAAGCTTGGAGACCATAGTTTTTTTATAGCAGCCCCGCAAGTAATGTGGTATGATTCATAAACTCGACTTTAAATGGAAATCGCGTCTACTACAACTGGAACGACAGGTCTACATGAGGGACATGTAAGTTTAATAGGAAGCATGCTGATACCACAATACTGTCATCCACAGTCACAAGTGAATATTGATTTTTTTCGAGTTCTCTTACAATATCGAAATTTCTCATACCACAATAACTGCAAGAGATTCACACCGGAGAACTACCTGCACTCACTGCTGCAAGATGACGCCCACAATTGCATCGAATACCAGATTGCTCAAAAGAACTTTGTCTTCCACCCTCACCAATGTGAGCAGAGGTAATTCTGGATGCTTCTGCAGCAACTCTGTCTTGAGAACTAAGCGTATTGTTAGTTGTGGTTATATGTTGCAAGGGCTAATTTGTTGAGAATTGCAAATCCATGCGTCCTAACGCTTCTGATGCATCAGATTCTGTTGAAATTAGTTGTCGTTCTAGTTCACCGACCGTGTATTGACGGCCACACTCACATGTCATTATAGGAGATTGATTGATTTATAATGGCAGTTATTGGCTGTTAGGAACTCATTTGTCCTCCTAAATGAATAGGAGTTCCCAATGCACTTCCCATTCGTAACCGAGGTTGTGAAACCAAGGATGACAAAGTTGAGTGAATTTCTCTTAGATCACCACTCTGATTCAGAAGGTTTGTGGCCTTCTGGTTCAGTTATGCACGTTCTAACTTTTCAGCTTCGATATAACAATTACTTCTCGTCTCTTATTAGAAGTTGAACTTGTGACATTATGATCTCTTACGAGGCCATAGCTACCGCCAATATATTTTGGTTTAGAAGCTGTAACACCAGCAACATAGTCTTCATCATCACACTGAATTCCCACTTCCTCCGGGTCCTTCATATCAACAACCTGAATTCCAGCACTCTCCGAGAGGACAGTCGTCATCTTCGTACCTGTCCATGCAAGTTTTGCGCGGACATTTAAATCTGCTGACTTCCACTCTGTCAGGGGAATTTCCACAGCCAAATTTACCACATCAACTTGTGCCATATACACCTTGGTTAATATCAAAAGAGCACCGACCTGTGTGCCTGTGAAAACGGTATATCTTATCCCCATTTAACTAGACAGTAATGTTACAGGTGTTTCCTAGAGATTTCTAGACATGGGTACTTCGAGTATGTAGGATTTGGGGCCAAAAGACATTAAAACGTCAATAAGTTGAGCTGAAGCTTTAGCGAAGTATTCCTGTCTGACTAGCAAATAGTATTTGGTGGAAGGTGCTTTAAGCGTAAGAATTATCTGGGCACAATCGATCATTTCTACCCGGATTCCCTCGTATGCAACAGCTTCTGATATCACGCCACACAAGTTGTTCTGGAGCACATTTAGTTGCTCCTCTACGCACTCTGCTTAAAATTAGAAACTTAAAAGTTAGAAATGATTGATATTTTATTTCGCATATTTCTTCCTCCATGCACTCTGAGATTGATTTTTCCCCAAAAATGTGTAGCCTTGACTATACCCATAAATGTCTGTGGCAGATTCTACCAAGTTTGGATAACCCACCAGACCTAGCTAAGTTATTGTGAAGCTATGGAAAAAACAGACGTATCGCGTGGAACAACATTATTGGGGATGTGATGTGGTATCTCTGCACAAATAAATGTTGGAATGAGCAGGGGTTTCCTTCTCTGCACACTCTGGTTTCAAATCTTATTTATTTTTTTCGATTTAAATAATAAAAAATAATTGATTGTTCATTTTGCATATTTTTTCTTCCTTTATAATTTCTCCATCACAAAAACAAAACTTTACATCGGTAGGAGTGGAATTATGGTTTTAATCTTCAAATATTATTGTTTAATTTATTCACAATACTGCATGCCATATTCGATTCCTTCCAAAGTACTCATCTTACCTTTTCTCTGCCTTTTTGTCTGTCTCTTTTACATCTGTGAATCGCCCTTCTGTTCCTCCTCCATTCTCCCCGTGAAATCCGAAGTCAACTAAAGGGCTAGTGATAACTGTCAAAACGTCTGCCATTTGAAATAAATAAATTTATTTATTTATTTACAATGTAGAAAGATATTTTTAACCTAACACAGTCATTATTTAATCTCAGTTTGTTTGCAAGAGGAAAGAGACAGTGAAAACTGTTTATCGGAGGAGATAAAATGAATCACGGGAGATCAGTTATCTTCAAGAGTCGACGGTCATATATTTTGTCCAATTCAGAAATCAACATCCAAGAATACTTTTTTCCTAAGGAGGTCTGAATTAGCAATAAATAGGGATTGATTGGTAACCTGTACTTTCATAGACTTTCAATTTCATAAAACTTACCTCATTGTCTTGGTTGAATAGCAACTCATATATTCTTCCTTCGTCAGCTACAATGAGG